GCCCACTACGAGTTCCTTCCCATCTCCCATTCTGGCTACCATCTTCGTAAATCTTCCAAACTTGCCACGACTTTTCCGAGGTTCTTTTCAACGTTGAGCGAGGGGGGGGGGAAGGGTGGACGTGAAACGGGAGAAACAGAGAAAATTCAAAACGTCAACAACCAAAAACCATTTTCACAAAAGCGAACACGGTGGAAACCCCGAAGATACCACGTGTGTGATGACAGGTGGGGTCAACACTCGCTCCAAGATAAAGAAATGGAAATTTAGAAAAGCCTTGAAGAAAGATACTCATGAAACCTATCGACTCAAAGTTCCCCGTAAGGACGAAAAAAATATTGAAAAAAATTTGGTGGCGCATGAAACTGGTGGGAGACCAGAATTTGGTGAGAGGCCAAATACTCAGATGGGATAGCCAGCTCTTACCTGAACTGAAGAGTGAGGAGAACATCTTGGATGACCTGAAAAATTCAACATTCAAGACACAGGACTATACAAGTTTCGAAACAAGTTCAGCAATGGGAGTAGCGGCAAACAAAGAGAGAAAACAAGAGGGCGTTCCAGTGGAAGAATGGACGAGAAGAAGAGTCACTGAAAGAAGAACGGAATGGTTAGACGTCAGAGGAAATTGTGTTGAAAGGGTTATTTGAATAGCATAGAGTTGTTCTGGCACAGGTAAAGGAATTCTGAACCAAAAGCCGCACGACGCGCAGAAGAAAGATGATGAAGATGCGGTCACTAAGGTAGTAGTGGGGTGGGGGACTACTTGCCTGTGCCTCCATATTCTAGACCCTTATCAAGGCTTAGGTTTAGTGGAAACTGGCCTTCTCTGTGGGACTACGGAGGACTTGGGACTTCGACGACTCTCGTCGTCTGCGCTCTAAATTTAAGCTTTTCTGAGGGAAATACAGCTTTGTTCGCTGCGGATGAAGGGGTGTGCCAGTGAGATTAGGTCTGGCGCTCCGCCAGCCCGTTTCCCACCGGTTGCTGAAGCAGATAAGCGGAGAGGACTGATACGAACTTTACGATACAGTCTTGCCACTTGCTCGCATCAGCAACTGATGGAAAACGGGTTTAGCGCCGCGCCAAACCCATGCTTCCTGGAACGCCCCCTCATCCGCAGCGAACAAAACTGTATTGACTTACTACATCCGTCATCACTGTTCATAGAAATGCCAGTGGACTAATGATACCAAGTTTACTTGCTTCATCAGGGACAATCACTAGGAATTGTTACAGGTCATTTCTTTCCTGTCTCTTCCCATTCATTATTTTTCTTTTTTTTTCTTTGGGGACATTTTTCTCTTGACTATATTACCTTAATATTTTAATCTTCACTAGTAGCCACTCTTTGCGGACAGCGAACCTTATTCTCGGGTATATGAGCTACTCTGTATTGACATTCACACATACAGACAAAGAACACTGACAGCAGCATCCGTTATACGTACTTATTCACCATAAAGCACTGGTTTTAGAGTACCTGAGCTTCTTGTAGCTTTCTTCAATTTAACCTTGAGTCTAGCTGGCGTGTGATTCGGCACATCGCATTCTTTTCGCTCACGGCCTATCTTCATAGGTCCTTGCCGTCTAATCAACGAAATTCAAAGAGGGACACCTTTCATCGTCGTCCAATGGAAATCAATTGTGCTCGTGTGCCTCCACGATCTCACTTATCCAGAACCGTGTATTACGCAAATTTTACACCATAGTAAAAGCTGCTGGGGCCAGGCTCTTCTAGAGGAAATAGTACCGATGGGATAATTAACCACTCTTAAGGATGGGTTTCACTAAAGCGTGCCATGAAACCAACATAGCAGGAATGGTTTAGGTGACGTAAGGCGACAGCGGCGTGGGGGGAGGATGGGAAGAGCACTGGTTTCGTCCGTGGATCTAGCCCTGCCCGATCGATGAGGTTTCCTCTGCCCTGGGAACAAGTCCATTCATACTATACCTTTTCAGAAAGATAAAACGACCAAAATATCTGGTGATGTCCCAGATAGTGTAAACTAAATACACGCTGTTGTGAAACGATGATTTTGAATGGGAGTCAGAAGCATGGCGTATTGCAAACTAGTCGATAAACGCAATTCCTCAGTGACTTAAAGTCGAGATGAGACAGCTGTTCTAACACAATTAGCCAAAAACCCTTGGGCTTGCATATACTCACTAGTCGACAGCGCCGTGGTTTGGGAAAGGGGAGGGGAAGCTAAATGTCCGATTTTTCTTGGAATCCACGACTGCGAATTCTCTCTTCCGGCGAGCCAGATAAGACCTTTTCCAGGCAGATCACGCTAACCCCTACTCGTGGAAGATCTTTTCTATTTTCAGGGCTTAGCTGGTTTGGGTGGGGCATACTTTTACACGGTTTCTATTCCAGGTGAAAATAGGAAACAACACAGTCTGTTCAGTTAGAAGATTGTGAGTAAGGACATGAAGGGGATTGGGCTATTTAAATTCAATCGACAACTGAGCAGTGCAGAAGAGCTTAGTTCTCACATTCCCCACAGGCTCATTGACCAAGGTGTGAGCAGGTCCTCACACCTTGGTCAATGACCTCTCCCTGGTAAACCGGAGCAAAAGGAGCTGAAGGAGTATGTAAAGACAGATGAATGTGGACGCTGATGTCAACGGGGTCGTGCTAGAGGCAGTGGCTGAGAGGGAGGCAGAGCATGCTGAGCGGCCAACTTCCTGATCGCCAGGATATCCTTGTTCTACTCACTCTTTCGCACTGTTGTGAATGCCATTTTCATACCCCCAGCCAGTAACATTTTGGTGAAAACATCGCATGGGAGAGTCAAAACAAGTTTCAGTGCAACCACGAACGAGCGAGATGAGAAACATCCGAATGGTCTCCACACAAGCCCTTTGGGCCCC